GAACTGAATTAACTCATGATCGCTCGAACCAAGGTTGTCCCCTACAACCATTTCTTCTATGAAGTCCTCACTACTCATCAAAACCAAATCTAAAAAGGTATCCCCTATTGTTGGTTCAGCAACTACTTGGTGAAGGAATCCATCAATTATCGCATCCAGGAAAATCTGAGCCCTATTATTACTATTAGCACTTGTCCTCCAGTCTATATCTGGGAAGTTAAAGTCTCCCATGATCACACAATTCCTATTAGTATTTACTTCATTAAAAACATTAAAGAGGTCTCTATCCATATCCAAATCGGATCCCAGCGGTCTATAGCACACCCCAAACACTATCCCAGGGGAGACTCTAGTAGCTTTCTTCCCCAATGTGATTTTTACCCAGACTCTGTCTTATCCATTCCATCATTTCTTATTTCTTTACAGTCTACCTCATCATTGATATACAATGCTACTCCACCACCTTCGCCTTTATTTCTATCTTTCCTAAACAGCACATACCCTTCAATACCTGTACTCCAGTCGTGACTACTATTCCAGCAGGTTTCTGTTATCCCTATAATATCTGGTTTCACTTCCTGCACCAATAGCTCTAGTTCCTACATTTTGTTACCTAGGCTCCTCGCATTAGTGTACAAAAATCTTAATTTTTGCTGTTTGGCTTCTCTCACATTCTTTACTCGATTAGGCACAGACATTCTACCGCCAGTATCACCTATTAGACTGGTATCTACACTACCCTTCCTCTTTATGTCCATCGCTTTAGAATCACACAGTTTGTCTCCTCATCTTAATGGAGAAAAACACTTACCTCATTTAAAAGCTGCGAGATCTTCAGCTGCAAGATTCTTAAAAGTGCTGTATAAGTATTTTATCCCTTTCACATACTTTTCTTTTTGCAATTGGCTTGGTTTCCTGTCAGGTTCTCTACTGAATTTGTACTCTGAGAGAACTGTAAATAAAAATTGAATGCTAACTTTTTAAACACAGAAATTTAAGTTTTATGTTGTGACACAAATGGCATTTCTTCATCTGCCTCGGCCTAGTTATTTCTGGCTTTGATTAAAGGAGAGGACAGCAAACTAGGGTCCTGATCTTGTAGTCTTTACTCATGTGAGGAGTTGTACTGAAATCAGCAGGAATACTCATGTGAGCAAGGATTGCAGGATCAGTCCCCTCAACATTGTTATCACTGGTTTAGGAAAATTTCTTCCAACTTAGTTGCTAACTGAAACATTAGGTGAAATAATCAAACTACTTAAAGCTCCAGTTCCAGATCAAAAGTGAAGTGTAAAAATTGAGTTTTTATATTTAACACTTTACTGCTCTAAACAAACTACCCAAAATCATGACCCCTGAATGTTTCTTTGAAGCACTATTGCAGCAGAGTTGGAACTGCTCATCGTGGGCCTGATCCAAAGCCCACTGAAATCAACACAAAGAATCCTATTGCCTTCAATAGGTTTTGGATCAGGCCTCGTGGAGGGGCCAGTTCAGCTGTAAATGATGGTTTCTCATGTGTATGTTTTGATAGTTCAAGAGCAGACACATTTTAGTACTATCCCCCCAAATATTGATGTTTGAACATTTTCCATTTCACAACCTTTAATTTTTCTTTAGCTTTATGTTTTATTAAAGATTATTGCAAATACAATCTAGTGCATTGATATCTTGACTCATGCTCCTAAATAGCTTTTATTCTCACCCTACCATACCTATTTCTTTTTCCTCTTATTCCAATCTACCCCTTTTGAACACTCCATGCATTCTTCTGGAAAAGGCTGATGGACTGTAATTGTACAACCATCAATTACTATTTGCAAGTACTCCCTCAAATGGAAAGCTACTTTACAAATATTTTTATTTACTTTTTTTTAAATGCAGTAAGCCTGCCATTAATTCAAAGGTTTTAATTTTAATTTTAGACTTGCTTGAAGATGGCTTTGGAGAACATCCTTTCTACCACTGTCTAATAGCAGAGGTGCCAAAGGAGGGACAAACAGGAAGTAAGCTAAACATGTTTCAAATATTTATCTATTGATTACCTCTAGCAATCCCTGATTACACAAAGAATGACATAAGGGATAACAAGACTGAGAAGGCTGAGGTTGTCTGAAGCTCCAATATGGACCCATTAGCTGACCACAGCAAGGGAACTTCATGGATTTTTCTTTTAGATATTTTAATAAAAAGTTCACTGCCATCAATGGATGAATGAACAGAGACTGAATTATCTTCTCTATCTGACAGTCACTGTTGAGACACACTGGTGATGTGATGTTCATCCATAATGCACATTCCACTTTGTCGTTCTTTAGAGATTGACAGGCGTGCCAGTTAGTGGGACTAATTCTGTGGATATGATCAAATGGTAATAGAGATTAGACTATTGTTAGTAAGGCAAATAAATGTAATCTGAAACCAGTTCCTTATGCAGAACCCCTTTGCCCAGTACCTCCAGATAATTTTAATGCTTTTGATAATACATTCTGCCTTCTTGATTACACCTTAGTATCAGCAAGTATCTGAGGTTTTCTTCCTAATAGCGAAGATTTTACAAGTGTCTTCTGCGTGAAAAATACCCAAGACTTTAAAAAAAACCCTGCAGTTTGGAGTGCATGTCTTTCGATATTACTAAAACAAATATTGGCTTTGTGGTGCTTGTTTGGTCTGAAATCTATATTTGCTGCATTTTAAGATGATTCAGTACACAGGAATTTTCACTGAGCTCTACCTGTGTTTATATCAAAAGTTTCCTTAAAAGGTTGAAGGATAGCTATAAATAATCATATTGATATTATACTTTACATAAGCTAGTCAGTTATTTCACTTTGTATGTTCTTTTCAGGTAGTTGCATTGTAGGCTATGCTATGTATTACTTTACATATGACCCTTGGATTGGCAAGTTACTTTACCTGGAAGACTTCTATGTCATGGAACCATATAGAGGTAATAAACAAACAAACAAACAAGCTTGTTAACAAGCCTCACTCTTGATAAAAACAACAAATAATTATTCGTTTACTCTTTCAGTATGAATTAGCTTCCAGCTTTCTCTTTCCATACTTCTAGGCAATACTGAGTAAATATCCTGCAAGTTTTATAAGGGAACAAAGCATGAATGTGTTTCCAACCATTAGAGGACTTTCTCTTCTGAAACATAATATACTTGAACACTATTATTAATACATTCTGTGCATGATTTTGAGAACTCTTCCAAGAAATTATGTTGCAGAATTTTGAAACTTTAAAGGTGAAGCTAATATTGTTTTCTAATGTCAGTGAAATAGGTATATTTTAATTTCTAATCATGTTTAAAAGTAACTTTTAATGCCTTTAAATTTGATTTAATAAAAGGATCAAGAGCTTGACCTGCAATAGAAGTGATATTGACACAAAATATAAAATAATTAACTTTTTAAAAAATTTCCCATGCTAACCCTTTATTTTAAGTACTTATGAAGGTGCTAAAATATATCACAATTACTCACAAATAAAAAAAATAATCAACAAATTTAAACAAATTCCAAAAGTTCATAATAGTACAAGTAATCTCAAATGAAAATATATTTTATGCAATAGTTTAAAAGTAGTACTACTTCACTGTAAATCAACATTTCCTTATGATCCAGTCAAAACACACATAACTTAGTTCAATATATTTATATTATATAAATTAAATATATAATGATACAAAATGTATATTCTCACTTCCAATGACATTATTAGAAAAGTAATTTTATTTTCTATATAAAAGTTACATTCATTTGAATTTCCCGTTAAATATTTTAAATGTGCAACTACAATTTCATAAAAATACATCTTGCTATGAAACTGTGTGTGTGTACTGATATTTTTAATGTTTGCACTATTCAATAGGCTTGGGCATTGGCTCGGAAATCTTAAAGACATTAAGCCAGGTATGTATCATTTAAAACAAAGATTTACAAACACTGCATAATTTTAATGGTCATTTCCCTCATTTTCTAAACTATGACAGTGTAAGATTTTGATTCATAAATTCTCTGTACAGTATGCTTACTATATATGATGAATTAATGTAACAAACATGTAGACTTGTTTTCATATAGATTTCTTTTCCTGCCAATGCAAGTCTGTTCTGGACTCTGTAAATGGACTCTTAAAGCAGTGGGACTTCTACATCTTCTACAGGGAGATTTTCCCTTAACTTAATACTCTCACAGTTCAGTTAGGAGAATCCTTCTGATATTTTGCTTAAGTTTCCCTATGCTCAATTTCATATTGTTATATACCCTGTTGTACCTCTTTAGAAACACACTAAGTAATTCTTCTGACCTTCATACTTTCAAATAATTAGGGGGAAAATCTTACCTCCTGCTCAGTGTGTAAAAATATCTCAGTAGTCAACAGAGCTTGTGTGATTATGCTGGAGTACAAGAACCCTTCAAGGCGTCTCCATTTATTGTGTTCCAATGATCTGTTCTGCAGAACGAGGGGTCTTAGATATGTGTCTAATGAGCAGACTAGGCAGAGTTTAATGGGTAAACTAAGCACCCCTGTAGAAATCAGCAGAGCAGCTGCAGCCTTCCTATTGCAATAATAGATGTGGATACGCTCCAAGGCTTATGTTGGAATATGTCCCTACACTGTAACTAGGAGCAAGCCTCCCAGCCTGGGTAGATGTGCTTGTGCTAGTGGGGCTTGCACTAGTGTGCTAAAAATAGCTGTGTGGATGTTGCAACACCAGTGATTAGCCTGAGCCTTCACCAGTGCTTCAACATCCACACCGCTATTTTTGGCACACTAGCACAAGCCCCACTAGCACAAGCATGTCTACCCAGGCTGGGAGGCTTGCTCCAAGCGGTCATGTAGATATACCCTTGGAGTCACCATCCCTGGCCACCTGAGAATCCCTCTGCGAAGCCCATATACTAGTGTATTGCAGAGTTTCCAGAAATTTGGCCATAGACTAGTTACACTGCCTTTCCCCCCCCCTCAGTTTAACTAAGAGTGATCTAATCTAGCAGGTAACTCGCTTGTTCATCCTGTGAATCTCATGATGACAAAAGAGGGTAAGGCATCTCTGCGGAGAATTTTGGCACAAACTGTTGCTATTTTCTTGAGTCCATCACGATACCATGTGCAAAAAGGGACTAGCTTGTTAGAGAACATGAACTGCTCTGGCATCTGCTGTATGTGCAGTGGCCTTTTGAAATGGTACCACTGGAGATTGCTCTATTTGTAGATGAATATCTGAACTAGTATTGGAGAAGGCATTCCAAAATAATGCCTTGCAAGTAATACAGAATGTTTACTTTTCAACAGATAGCAATCAAAACAAACTGTAGCTGCATGCATTTCCTTGTAGTCATTTGGAACAAGCCATCTATAGAGTACTATGTGAGACGTGGAGCTTTAGACCTTTCCACTGAAGAGGGCTGGCATCTCTTCAGATTTGACAAAGAGAATCTTCTCAGAATGGCATCTGGAGAATGAAGGAAGTTCCCATTCACCATTCCAAGATTTGTGAGAGATTAGATTATTAATCTGCAATACGTTTGTCCTGCTTTCAGTTTTGCGCAATAGAACATCTGCTGCTTACACCCTGGAGTTCCAGTTTGTTATGAATTTAACAAGATTAATTAAGTTTATGTAACTGCTTTGTTTTATGACCAGCAGCCTTTATTACTATTAGGTACTATGAGAGTTACTAAAAAGTTTCTTTCATCATCGTTTGTTACATAACTGGACACTATTCAAGGAGACCCCATGTTTTATCTCCCCCCCTCACATTAACAAATAGATGTATGTTAAAAAGTGTTACTGTATTGTATGCATTGTATCACAAGCTGATTTATATTTAAAGTAATCCTGCCTGCTACAAAAATAAGTCTTATGTTACTAACCTTTTCCACAATGTGACATTATCAGTATGATGAATGATTGTGTCCTCATCTTTCAGGCAGATAGTAGCCAATCAGGATTAGAATTTTTCACCTAGTTCTTCCTCATCTCGGGGGTACAAGTAGGCATTCCCAGTTAATGAGCAATGTAGCTGGAGAACATGATCATCATCTAAGCTAGTCACTTTGAGACTGGTCATTCACTGTGGCATTGTCAGTTTTCATATTGGTGTTGCTACATCACAGAGAGCAAGGTGAGAGACATTTTTTTTTCTTGTGATGCTGGTGCTACCATTAATGAATGATGAATGGATCCAGCTACCAGGGAGGAAGGAGTAACTAAGGAGAAGTTAAGATACACTAGAATAAAGTGACAAGAGGAGAAGGGGACCATGAAGAGCCTATTAAGATGATCAAACCTCCTGAAGATAGCCTCTTTAAAACTGCTGAGGAAGAACCCCTATCGGAACTTGCTGATCAAAGACCTCTTCAGCAGTTGTAAATCCAGCCAGTACTGTCTCAAACACATAGCAGCATGGAAAAGCTCCTCAACTAAGGCCTCCCCCAACTCTGCCCAGGACATGGCCACAGTTAGGATATAGTGAGCTCAAAGCTCCTCTGGGGTAAGAAGTGAGGCATGGAAGGGAGCTGAAGTGCTGCATGCAAGTTTGGATCCTACAGAAAAAGTTATATTTACACACCTTCTCCTCTTTATGAGCCCCTCCGAACAGCATGGGGAATATTTTAGATGAGGAAATGCGTACCTCAAGCTCTAGGGGGGATCCAGGGAATGCCACCACACCAAGTCTGGTCTTGGGGTCATGGGAGAAGTTGGGAAGCAAGATCTCATTGCTAAGGATGAAGGCTGAGAGGCCACCTTGAGGAGAAAACAGGGATACATTCAGAGAATTAAGTTTCCCCTTGTAGAAGATTACATATGAGGGATTGCAAGCTACACGTGCAAGTTTCCTGACTCTTTGGGCTGAGAGCATGACAACCATAAAGGCCACTTTCCTTGTCAGGAAAACCACTCAGAATGGTAAAGATGTGTTCCAATAGGTCAGAGTAGATGATCTATGGAAGGGAAGTGTAGACTTTAAAGTAGGAGACTGCTTTCAGGAACCTGGCTAACAGAGGGTTGGACCCCACTGGGAACCCTTTGATGGAACTTCTGAGGACATTGCAGGAGGCGGCCTGGACCCTAGGGCAGCTGGTAGAGAACCTTTTGTCAAACCTATTCTGAAAGAATTCCTGATTGGAAGGGATACTGGATTTCCTGGTCAAGATCCCAAGGGATATGCAATACTAGGAAAAAGACAGACCATACAGCTATAATAAGCAGACCTACCACTCTTCTTTCAGGAATAGATGAGGCAACACAAAACCAGTTGGAAATCCCTAGCTTTGAGGACAGAGTATTTATTAAGCGGACCCATCTCAGCCACTCTGTGGCTATGACAACAGGAAGACATTGATTTCTTTCTGCTTTTTCCCTTTTACCTAATTCTACAAAACACTCAGATAATTCTTTTACAATTGGATAATGCATTGAGTTTAGTAGGAAAGACAGGACTTTAATTTGGTCAGTGCAGATGACGAAAGCTAAGAAAACTGCTGGAACCTGAAGATTTACCATATTCAGGTTTTAATAAAGTTTTATAAACATACAGCTTTTTCCCTGAAAATACACAGACTTCAAGGTTCTCCTTTTAAAACACTTCTGTAAGCATTATTTTATGGTTTCTGAATGAATCATGGAATTGTAATAAGATCAGTGCCTGTCTTGGCAAGAATCAAATTCAGAAACTTCAATAACTGCACATTAGTACTCTGCATCTTGGGCTCCAACACTATATTACTGAACTTCAGTTTAGGATTCCCAATTTCTTTTAAGATATTCTTAGTTTATTTTAAAGTAAGATTTGTAGAGAAAAGGCAATCTGTAATCCTTTGTGTTAGCTTCCCACTTTTTCATAACCAAAAGGATTAAGAAATGAATAATGGTTAACTGTGTAGAATCTAAATGCAACTTCCTTCCGCACAAGCCATTGATTTTATTCATGCTAAACTTTCAAAGTGTCTTTTGTGTGTTACATGGTATTTGGGGACATAAGCATATGACTCCCAGTGACACTAATGGATATCTTGTGGCTAAATCACTATCTCTTTAAAAATTTACCTCTAAGTTTCACATAGAAAATTGAACCGCATTTCTAGCACTCTTCTAATCTATTATTTCCCTCAGTTAGGTGAGATTCAATTTCAGAAGAACAATAATATCTTGTATTGTCCCACTGTTGTAGACTCTTAGAGCGCAAGCATGCAAAGACACATGAATAACGTTATGACTTTGAGTAGTCCCAATAAATTCATCTGATCCTTGCCTAGCCAGATATTGAAATCAATACACTTTCATGTTGGGTTCAATGGGAATACTCATAGTATGTAAATTATGCACACAGAACAGTTTGCAGGATTGAGACCGTAGTCACTTAACAGGAACTCAGTATTTTAGGTGTTTTTGTTTTCTTTACTGAAACAGCCATGTTGTTTGTTTAAAAAGAGGCTGCTAGCCATAGGCACAATTTTTTTTTTTACATTTTTTTAACTGTATGTTGATACTAAACTGTTGACACATGACATTGGCATAACTACTAATAACTACTTAAAGAGGCAAAGAATTGTGTATATGTTCTGCTCCATAAATGATAGCAATAACTGTATTGTGCCAGAACATGCTATTCTTCATAAGTCAAACAAACAGTCCTTAAAAAGGATTTCCATTTTGTCTCAAAGCACTTTATCATATCAAAATTTTACCAGAATGAAAAATTGACTAAATATTTGCTCATTCTTACGTTCACAGAAATCCCATTGAAGTCAATGGGCTCTGGGTATGCATGCTTCAAAACAGACTGTGGACCTTGGTTTTATCCCTACTAACCTCCACAACTTTTTATTCTTTTTTTTTTTAAGTTTAAGCTGTGAGAGCACTTTCATCCAATAGTATAACTGCCTGTTTTAACCTCTGTGTCACTAAAACGCCCAACTTTCCTGCCATAATTTGCTTATATATTCCACATTAGCACAAACAGTACCAGTAACATGGGTTAGAGTTGATGGAGCTGAAAAGCAACTTAATAAATATCAGTCTATGTTATTAAAGGTTGACTGAAAACTAATGTGTGGTCTACAAGGGATGCTTTGAAGACTAGCTCCAATTTTTTCTTTTCACTTTAAATGTTACTTTTAAATCAGGAAAGCTACACACATACAGAACAAAATTTATTTTCTATTCTAATCACCTCGGTGGAACAGGTTAACAGCAGTGATTTTTACAAAAGGAGCTAGCTTACATAAATCTTAAAGCAACTGAATTTGAGAGAGTACAACAATCACAGCTGGTTTCTTTTATATTATGAGTGCTCAGACTAATAAGATACTTGAGCCAACATGGATGCCAAATGCTATCATTTTCCCATAACATTCCAGAGCTGGGAGTGAGTGAGAAGGGGGACAACAATCAAAAGATTACCAGATTACTCTTTTACTGCCTTTGAACAACTAAGGAGCTGAAGGACAGAAATACATTTACACTTTCAAACCATCCCTTATAAAGGTGATTTATGTTTATTAACAACTTGACACTGACAATCCTGATACACCCCATTGCAAGCACATATTGAGAGAAATATAATTCTCAGTGTCAAACAGCTAATTATTGTTCAAAGAAATTAAAATATTTAATTGCTTATAGGTAGTAAGAAACAGTACCCAGTAAACAACAAGGACAAAGTAGATTGACTGTACATATTGGGATTTAAGAAAATACCTGATTAAATTATACCACATTCGGTACAATCATACATTGCATAATCCTTCCATTTTTCTTTGCTATTGTTAGTACTTCCCAATATTTGTAAATTGGTGCCTTAGCTTCTAGTACTGTACATATCCACATCCTCTGGGCTGGATTGACCATGGTCCATAAGCCTGGGGTCAAGCTTAAATTTTGTTGTCTTCACTACATCTGTTAAAGATATTAAAATGAAATAAAATGATAAAGGCATAAAAGCTGTTTAAAAAAAATGCTTATTCAGAAGTTATACATATTGATAGTGTGAAAATTCAAGCATTATAATAAAGTGCTCTACAGTTATAAATTAATTGTAAATTACATTAGTGGGAATAATGCAGACAAGTTGTTGCCACGCAGTGAAAGTCACAGGAAGTAAGAAAAACATTTGAAAGATCTCCAGTCTCTTACAAACTCATCACTAAATTGTTTTCACAATTACAAAGTAATCTATTAAAAGCCTGATCATGGCATGCCCTGAGCACTGGCACAAGGGAGAAGGGGGTAGTGCGTAAGGCTCTCCTTTACACCATACTGCTGCTTCCTGGGGCAGCAGGCTCTGCAGAGCTGCTACATCCCTTCCTCCTGCAGGTGGGAAGTAATGAATGAGAGAAATTGGGAAGCAGGCAGAACCTTGACTCTCCCGCCAGGAGCCCACTGTGCAGAGTACGCAGTGACAGGATCACAGTTTAGTACCTTTCCAGAGCAGTGGGGAGACTGAGAAGCAGATAGTGACTGAGTCACTAAAAGGATTCATATGTTAAAGGTCGTATAGCGGGAG